GAGTCCGCCTGCCGATGCGGTGGACACGGGTTCGTGCCCCAGTCCGGGAAGATCCCACATGCCGCGGAGCGGCTGGGCCCGTGAGCCATGGCCGCTGAGCCTGCGCGTCTGGAGCCTGTGCTCCGCAACGGGAGAGGCCACAACAGTGAGAGGCCCGCGTAACGCAAAAAAAAAATTGTGTTCTTTTGCTTACGTAAGTCATAGAGAATCTATGAAAAGTAATCTAGAAGAAGTTATTAATGCATTAGATAGTAATCTTTATGGAACTTCCCATTAATATGTAGAGAAGGTAAAAAATGTTATGTACTTAACAAGAAACAGATACTTAAAAGAGTAGCTGTAATTACAGGCTGTCACCTACATCCAGCACCTTCACCATCAATAACCAGTTTATGAGCACCTCCTTAGAGAGTGACCCTGTGCTGCATATACTGCAATTAGTGTTGCCATTCACATTAGGGTATGATATCATTCAATCAGCTGATTTCAGCTAGTTTTGCATAATGTTTCCTGAGAAAAACACTTTTGTTAATATAAAGATAGGTACCATATATAAACCTTTGAGCAGAAATTATAAAGCAATATGGCATAGTTTCATTTTAACAGCCCCAAAGTATAGGCAAAAACAGCACTTATTTCTTTTGTGGAACTTACACTGTCATGGGTAAGACAGACTGCAGTCAAATTATCCAGAGATCATTGTAAACATTCTGATTCCAATGCTGAAACGACTTCATAAAGTTGTATGCAAATATCAGTTATTATTTTGCCCTTGTAAAGTAAAAACAGAGAATGTCGCTCTTATCCGTAAAATCTCTAGTACTAGAGCGCCCTTAAAATCTTTCCTGCAAAGATAACATTTTTCCTTTTTAAAGAAAAATGTTTTTCATGCTTGCACAGGATAAGTAGAGTGCAGAAGTTCAGTTTTACAATGTTTATGCATAAGGATGTTTCTATTTCTAGTGCAGTTATATTTGGATTATATTGATTCAGTGATGTGAGTACATGTTCTGTATTCATATTTTTGAAAGAAATAAACAGAAAATAAATACAGCAGGTACACCTGCAGAATGTTATATGAGAGCTACTGTTCTCCATAAGAGTGTGTGTGTTTATTTGTGCTGTAATCCTGTGGTAGATATTGATGCCATTCATGTTCAAGATGACAGAAGAGATGAAAGAGATTGATCTTATAAGTTGAGAGACACTGACCTGCAGTCCTTAACCTTTTCTTTTTATTTGTATCCTCCCTTCCCAAGTCTTTTCACCAAACCTAGATTCTCTGAAGCCCAAAAGGTCCAACAGGTATTTCAGGCTCTGTTTCTATTAACCAGCCCTGTAGACCCTGCCCCCTGCAGTCAGCCTGACCAGTCTCAGGGGTTGTCTGCAAACCCTTACACCTGTACTCTGGAAAGCCTATTAAACATGAAAGGAGAACTGCCCTAGAATAAGAAAACTCAACTTTGTTTGCACTGTGCTTCTTTTATCAAGTCACTTCACCTCTTTGAACAGCAGTTTCCTCTTGCTCATGAAATGGAGTTATCCCAGGCCCATCGTGCCCACTTTGCCTGGGAGGCAGGTCCATAGTTGGAGATATGACACGTAGGCCAAAGCCGCAGGTCACCTGAAGTTTCTCTCCAAGTTTTTCTGAGGCATCTGGGAACTTCTCTCAGGAGGTGGTATATATTAATTTCCCTGTAGTAAGTGTTTCGAAGTTAGGTTCTATGTCACTTTCGTGTATCCTCAACAACTAGCACAGCACCTGGCACACAGTCTCATTCAGTAAATGCTGGTTGAATAATGAGGGAGAGATTTCTTTCTAAGTTCCATGACTCATAACAGCTGACTGAACACCATGTTGTATGTAGTGCCAGAATACTCAGCCTACCAGAACTGATCCGTGGTTTCCAGGTGGAGTCCTAGTTTCTCATCTGGGAGGTCAAAATGATCGCATATGCCTCAGGGTTTCTGTGATGATCAAATGAAAAATGTATTCCAAAGCTGGTTCAGATGAGGGGCATAAGAAAGGGAGGAACAGAGGTAGGTGGAGTCAGACCTGGGATAATTTCCATTCCACCACCTGCTTCTGCTGGGAACTTGAAGAAGCCATATAACTTCTCTGAGCCTCTTTCCCTGTCTGAACAGCAAGGTTACCAGTGCCTGTCCTGCCTCCCTTACAGATTCATTTGCGGTGAGGAAGGAGATGATGAAAAAGGGAAAAAGGGAAAAAGGGTCCCCTCTTTCCCTGTCTGAACAGCAAGGTTACCAGTGCCTGTCCTGCCTCCCTTACAGATTCATTTGCGGTGAGGAAGGAGATGATGAAAAAGGGAAAAAGGGAAAAAGGGTCCTACGAATGTAAGAAACTTAGTATTAGAGGAGAGGACTGTGGACTGGAATTTGTAAAACCTGGCTTTGACACTTACTAGCTCTGCAACTTAAACTGTTGAAACACAGTTTCTTCCTATATAAAGTGAAAGTGTTAGATTAGTTTATTTTTAATGCTTTTCCTGTTAATAGTGGTGGATTTGTAGAAGTTCTCTTAATGTGCATGCAGGATTAAAATAATCACATATCTATAATTTTCAGCCTTATGAGTACTGGGGGAAACCTCACACTAAAACTTTTGTCCATCTTCTGAATAATGTCTGAATTTACAGACCTCATTCTGCTTTCCTGTAGCTAAAGGATTGGGCTATACTCAGTAACACTTCGAGCTTTTATCAGTGTTCTCACCTCACCGCTTACGAGTTCAGCTGTCTTCTGTTATCTGTTTCGCTAAGATGGGAGGGGCAGGATAACTGAAAATCAACTTGGCTGCTTTGCAGTTTCATGTCAGTTTGTCCCACACACCAGCGGATTAGTCTAGTGTATGCATTCATAGGAATGAAAATGCTGGCTTGGGACGAGAATTCCTAGACTCTGCAGCCTTGACAACCATCTCCAGGCCCTTCATTTCGTAAATGTCACACCTGGAGTACTTGCAGGGGCCTTGGGGTTCTTCCCACCTAGCCCTCTCGTTTTTCATATGGGAAACCGGGGCCCAGAGAACTAGCTTGCTAGAGAACATGGCGATTTGAACAAAGAAAATCCAAAGTCCCAACAAGTTGTATTGCAATATATTACCCTACAGGGAGTTAACCACCGAGAAAATAAGATACGGCACTTCCTGCTAGTTGCGGTGTTCATCAAAAAGTCTGCCTTTTTGATTTCTTGCTACTCTTCAGCTTAGAACCAGAGGGCTTTTATTTCAGGTGCAACGTTTTACAGCATTTAGCACTTTTAACTGAGAAGTAGAGTTAGGGTAATCATATCTGAGTTCTTCAGATCATTCTTTCTTAGTCTCGGCTAGCTTTATAGAGGACTTACTCTATGCTAGACACTGTGCTAACAAAGAGTACTTCCTCTCTAGAGACTGTTAGAGCACAGAAGGCCCTGGGAACAGTGAGGGTGAAGGGAGCAAGAGCCAAAGAGGCAAGAGTGACCAGGTCTGAAAGCAGGAGAGTGGGGCAGAATCACATCTGAAAGTTTCAAGGTCACCCCTCTGCAGGAGCAGAGCTGTAGCTGCAGAGCCCGCAGAGCTTTAAGCCCAACAGGAAACCTGAAAGCATCCCGGAGGGGGCATTTTGCAGGGAGCGTGGGGCCTCTCAGTTTCTGGGCTTTTATTCATCAGCATCTAAGGGTGTTGAATGAACCCTGTCCTTGATTTTAACTTCTTTCCCTCGTCATCCTTCCCGTACACCCCTGCTGGCCAGGTGAAACCCAAGGAAGTACAGATTACAAACCAGAGAGAGAGCTGAGGGTTATGAGGCGGTGTGATCTCCAAAGGTTCACATTTCTGTCTTTTCATTAGCTGTCTTTCTGATAAGAAAATCTTGGACTTATTGGGTTACAGTAATATGGGAAGTTTACAGTCCCTCTGTACAATCGTAAATTCAAAATGCTCTGAGACAGTTTTTTAAAATAATTTTGTGGCACACTCACTTGGGTAGTAAATCTGACCAAAACTGACAGGATGCTACAGTCTTACAGTCTTTAGGTACCTCCCTTAGTGAGAATATTCACATGTTTGGTGGCAAACATATTCATGTGTCTGATTACAGAGTTGCCTCCACAGACCCTGCTGTGGGCAATAAGCAATTTATGGAAAAATGCATTTTACTACGTTTCTGAAGTTGAAAGAACTCGGAATTCCAAAACCATCTGCCCCCAAGGATTTTAGAAAAGTGATTTTCAACCCATAAATCGTTTCCCGTAAATTTTGGTGTACTTATTTATCCCTTAAGGAGTGAACGTTTCCTTCGTTTTTCTTCCCTATGAAGAAAAAGTGGGGGGCGGGGAGGGGAGAAGCAAAACAAGGCTAAATGGTGGCTCTCAGGAGAATAAACTGTAGCTGAAGCTTTGGGGGTGGGGGTCTAGGTCCTCAATAGGAGTAGATCTTTTAAAGGACAGAAAACTAGATCTGTAGTTTTCCTGCAATTAAAAAAAAAAAATTACAGATTTCGCCACGGAACTGCATCATCCTCTTCTCCAGCTTTGCAGCAGCCTGAGCTGTAAAAGAGCTGCTAAGTCTAAAATGCGTGCGACGGAACCAGAGCGCCACCTTTCTTCCAGGTTTGGAATTGAAGCTTCCCGCGGCCACTGGCTGACTTGCCTGCCGAGGCTTGTTCCATCCACAAGACTGCAAGGAAACAATTCCTTGACCCTCAAATCATAAAGGAAGAGCTGCAAAGAGGGCAAGAAAATGTGTTTCCTTCTCTTTGGTCCCTGAGCAATTAAATTCATAACCTAATCTGATGTTAGGGAGTGTGAGCCATAAACCCCATGTTTAATTAGTTTGCACCTAGAGTCATTTTACACACTAGACATTTTAATTTACAACCTGCTGCATTGCAGCACTTTTCTAGGCCTTCAGCTATATAATAAGGTATTCTGCTAGCTGCTGAAGCTTTAAAAATATAGATACACTTAGTTCAGCTTCTTTCTTCCTTTTCCATTTTCAGTTGCAAATCAAACATGCAGTTACAGAAGCAGAGATTCAAAAATTGAAGACCAAGGTAAGCACCAATACATGATGTTTGAATTGTACTTTTTAAACTTCAGATGCTATGAATAAATTCAACCCGAGGACTAAAGGAATTTGTTTCTGTGCATTTGAAAGAATACAAATGTGAGAGATTCATTTCCACTGTTAGCGGAAAAACCTGCCAGTGCGTACTCTTAGGGGGTCAGCACCACTATACCCCTCAGTGAAAATAGCACAGTATTTTTAAATTACATATTTACATATTTGCACATATGTGGCCCATTCCCTCTGAGCTTTCCTGAAAAAGTAAATGTTTATGTGGTGGTGTGATGAATTGGGAGATTGGGATTGACATATATACACTAATATGTATAAAATGGATAACTAATGAGAACCTGCTATTTAAAAAAATAAATTAAATTAAAAAGTAAATGTTTATAATAGTTCAAGAATCCAAATTACGTTTTGACCACTAATTCCTTAAGCACAAGCCATTATACTATATCTCTTTATCTTATCTTAAATGTTTAATTATTTATTTTTAGCTTATTCATCAGAGATAATGTATTTTAACATAGCACATTACTTATCTTTCATGGAGAAAACTTCCAATTTCTAATAATTAAATATTATGAAATTTAATATATGAATAATTTATTTTAGGTGCCAGGTGCTGCCAGAAATCTTTAGACAAGTTTAGTTCATGTTATTTAAATTTGTGGAGAAATACAGGTCTTGATAAAAGGAGTATATGTTTTTAGTTTATATATGAAATAATACATAATTCAGAAGGGCATTTTTAATTGGTAAATTATAAGGTACTTGTAAGTTTCTTGAACAGTGTTTAGTTTTATCAAGTACATAATTTCAAAGATTTAAAAATATCTTTTGAGTTACTTTAAAAACACAATACTGTTTATTTTTTATGGTCTTTTAAAAATTGAGACATAATTGCTCTCACACTACTAACAGTCCGTTTCCCTGTTCACATTAGATACACTTGTTTGGGTTTTTCCATGTGTTTTAAATGGAGATGAATTAGCAAGGCTATTTTGGTTAAACGGTATTTTTAGCTAATAACTCTGTAGCTCTTTAGTCAAAACATGTCTATACATCATTCATGGTTTCACCCAAGCTCTGTGAATAATAAGTTTTAAATTAGTAGCGGTTGGTAAATAAACAACTCGAACACGAAACATTGCTTAATAAAAGATGCAGCAAATACCCAGTCCTGTTTTAAATTGCCATGTTTCTTGTCATAGAACGGAAGAATAGAAGATTTTTTTTTAGTTGTTAGGTACAATCAGGGAAAAAGATTCACCTGGGATTGCAAGTGCTTTAACAAAGCTTATGTGTTAGATATTTAATCTAGAAAATTCTATAAATTAGTATTTTATATTTTTCTCAATATTATATTGGCATATAATAGCCATAGATTAGCTTGTTTTACTATGACTCTTTATATCCAAGTTGATAATAGGATTCCTAATTTTGAAATGTTTTTGACTACTTTTTACTTTGTAACCTGTTTTGCCAACGTGTTTAGTTTAAAATATACATAAAAACATATATTTCCACTTTCCGAACGATTTTGGAATGTTTTAGATTTTGAAAATTGATAGTTTATAATGACTGCATCCTTTTGAACTTTAACAGAGGCATGTGAAGTAGAAGAAACACTCGTTTAAATGTTAGCTGGTTATTGTGAATAAATGACCTTTGACCCCTTACCTGAGAGATCGGTCTTGAATGTCTTCAGAAATGAGGGGTTTGGACCAGTGTGTTATCTGTTCCTAAGCTTCCCTGAAAGCAGAAACCACAAGAAGCTGCCTTTCTGTCCCATCAGAGAGAGTTAAATTAATTCAGCAATCATTTATACTTTTACTCACACTGTCTTTTATACTTTTATTCAAATCGGGATTTATTAGGCTCTAGAAACTCAGAACAGTGTCAGCAAAATAATGAGCTACAAGCTATGTTCATGTCAGTTGAAATAAAAGATGTGATAATATCATCAAAAGGGATAGAAACAAAGTAAAAATCACTTTTATCAGATTATTATGCCCAAGGAGCTGTTCCAAGCATGCTGATGTGTTATATCACAGTTCCAATTAAAGACAACATAATTTAGTCTTAGAGGACGGACTTCAGTTACTTGTCCAAGGTTTAAAGGCCAATAATGGCAGAGCCTGGAATTCAAATCTAAACTGTATGACTCCACGGTCCCCCTCTTATCCATTAGGCCATACTGTGTGCTTCTGCCCCTCTCTCCTTCCCAGCTTGCCTCTCCCCACTCCCTTTTTAGTTAACTTTTTATTTATAATTATATGTTTAAAAAGAAAAAAGAAAAACTCTGAAAGAAAGCGTGTTGAAGTTCATTGGATAGAATCAAACTCTAAAACACTTTTTCCTGCTCAGAGAATTTCATACACCACATAGTGTGATGGAAAGATCATGCAAGTTGGAATCAGATCCATGTTTTGTCATTTATCAGATGTGTGACCTTCTACAAACATTTTCACTTTTCAAGGCTTCCATTTTATAATCTGTGTAATAATGAAAATAATACTCTTCTCATCTCAGTGTGTTTGATGATTTGAGTATATGTAACAAGGGAATTTAAAATACACTATAAAAATATGAGGGATTTTTGCTACAGAAGTACTCAGATAATGCTTGCTTTGATATTTGCTTTGTCCAGCTACAAGCAGCAGAAAATGAGAAAGTGAGGTGGGAACTAGAAAAAACCCAACTCCAGCAGAATATAGAAGAGAATAAAGAAAGAATGTTGAAGTTGGAGAGCTACTGGATTGAGGCTCAAACGTTATGCCACACGGTGAACGAGCACCTCAAAGAGACTCAAAGCCAGTATCAAGCCTTGGAAAAGAAGTACAACAAGGCAAAGAAACTGATCAAGGATTTTCAACAAAAGTAAGCAGCTTCTAATGACTAAAGAATAGTTGTGTGTATCTAAAGAAGGTTTATATCCAGTAATTTCATAATATCTAGTGGAAAAGAAAAGGTGACCTCAGAGTCATGCCCCTAAGGAGCATAGTTAATGCTTAAATAGGCATTACGTTTTAGAAATCTCTTGCATCATTTTTCATATGCGATTATAGTTTTTCTTCTATAATTATTTGGCAACCTCCTGTTTTGTTGTTGTTGTTAATCATTAATCGTAACTGTTAAACCATTTGAACCTCTATCCTTTTTGAAACATCTGTGATTTAGAAGCAAGAAGCCCAGCTGAAGTCATGCAGAATGACTATTGGATAAAGTACTTACAAAGCAGCAACTGGGGCCTTGATGAGGCTGCTTCTATGTCTATTCTTAGAATCAGTTAACTTCAGAATTTTCCTGCTACAGATAGTGTAAATATTGATTAGCAAGACCTCCTGCCCTGCCAGTTTCCTTCTTTTAGCTGTTGAGAGAATCAAAAGGGCCTTGGTTCACTGCAGTAAGAGACCATCACCACACTCTGCTTTTAAATTTCAACTGCTATTTCTGAGCTAATGCTGCTTTGCTTCCATCTGTTGAATCTTGGTGTAATTTCAGGGAGACTGACCAGGGAGATTTTTACGGGTTTTTTTCAACAGTTACTTCTGGCTAGCTAGAATAATAGAAAGTAGCACCAGTATCTCATCTGGTCTTCTATGTCAAGCCTTAAAAGCTAAGCATAGGGCTTCCCTGGTGGCTCAGTGGTTGAGGGTCCGCCTGCCGATGCAGGGGACACGGGTTCGTGCCCCGGTCCGGGAAGATCCCACATGCCACGGAGCGGCTGGGCCCGTGAGCCATGGCCGCTGAGCCTCCGCCTCCGGAGCCTGTGTTCCGCAACGGGAGAGGCCACAACAGTGAGAGGCCCGCGTACTGCAAAAATTTTTTAAAAGCTAAGCATATATGTAAGAGTCACCATAACTGTTATTTCCTATCATGGAAATAATGTTTGTAATGTTTAAAAGATATTGCTATAAAAAGTGTATTAGAAAGGAGGGAATTGTTCTTATGACCATGAATTCAGTACATCACTATTTTAACTCTTTTTACCAAATATATACCTAACTCTATTTCATGTAATAATTTTATAATAAATTCTATCAAATTTGCATATTGCATTCCAGACTCTCAAAATGCAGGTATTTCTCCTTTTCCCCATATTATCCTCAGGTATGTAGTGACAGCTCCCCCTCAGTGTTTCTGACCCAACAGCCCCTCTACTGTCATTTATAGGAAGCAATCTTATTATAATTATCTTTTTAAAACTCTTACCATCCAGTTCCATCAGTTTACTAGGTAAATGACTTTATAAATGTGGAATTATATCTACTTGACATGTAATTATCTCCACTAAATTATCCAATATGGGTCATTAGTTCAGTAGCTTCTATCTAAATATGATAGAACGGGTGCTCTAGAGTCAGGAGCTACAGATGAAAATCTTAGTAAGCAGAACCAAAGCATTTTTCTTTACTTTGTAATCCATTAAGACATTTTTTTTTTTTTTGCGGTATGCGGGCCTCTCACTGTTGTGGCCTCTCCCGTTGCGGAGCACAGGCTCCGGATGCGCAGGCTCAGCGGCCATGGCTCACAGGCCCAGTCGCTCCGCGGCATGTGGGATCTTCCCGGACCGGGGCACAAACCTGTGTCCCCTGCATCAGCAGGCGGACTCTCAACCACTGCACCACCAGAGAAGCCCCCATTAAAACATTTTATTTGCTTTCATTACTAGATACCTTTTCTCTGTGGTTGAGTTTTGTTTATTTAAACAGCTGTCTAGTTATTTATTTCACTGTGCAGTTCATTGCTTCTGATAAGAATTTTTACATTTCCTCATTTATTGAGTGTTTGATGCAATGAGATCTATTATTTTCTTCTTAAGAGAACTTGATTTCATCAAAAGACAGGAAGCAGAAAGAAAGAAAATAGAAGATTTGGAAAAAGCTCATCTTGTGGAAGTTCAAGGCCTGCAAGTACGGGTGAGTTATATGCTCAAAGCCACTGAGTAATAGGGCAGCCAGACAAAAGTATAATTTGAAAAGATACATGCACCCCCATGTTCATAGCAGCACTATTTACAATAGCCAAGATGTGAAAACAACCTAAATGTCCATCGACAGATGAATGGATAAAGAAGATGTGGTACATGTATACAATGGGCTATTACTCAGCCATTAAAAAGAATGAAATAATAGAGATTATCACACTAAGTGAAGTAAGTCAGAAAAAGACAAATACCATATGATATCACTTACATGTGGAATCTAAAATACAACACAAATGAACATATCTATGAAACAAAAACAGACTTACAGACATAGAGAACAGACTTGTGGTTGCCAAAGAGGCGGGAGGGTTGAGGAGGGAAGGGCTGGGGGTTTGGGATTAGCAGAAGCAAACTATTATATATAGGTTGGATGAACAGCAAGATCTTACTGTATAGCACAAGGAACTATGTTCAATATCCTGTGGTAAACCATAATGGAAAAGAATTTGAAAAGGATATATATATATGTATAACTGAGTCACTTTGCTAAATAGCAGAAATTAAACACAACATTGTAAATCAACTATATTTTAATAAAATTAAAAAAAAAGAAGAATAGGTAGTTTTGCCTAGTGCTTGGAGAGAAGTGCTGATTTAGGGTTTCATGAATGGATATTTTTTTTCTCTCTTAGATTAGAGATTTGGAAGCTGAGGTGTTCAGGCTACTGAAGCAAAATGGGACTCAAGTTAACAATAACAACAACATCTTTGAGAGAAGAACATCTCTTAGTGAGGTCTCTAAAGGAGATACCTTGGAGAACTTGGATGTCAAGCAGACATCTTGTCAAGATGGCCTAAGTCAAGGTTTGTTTAACCTAACCATAAAAAATGTTTTTAATGACTGTAAAATTTGGCCTTACATTCTTCTTTTTTTAACTCAGAGATTTAAAAGTTGAAAAAGTCTTCCTGCCGTGGGAAAGAAAAACGAGCTTATCAAAATAGGAAGTTATAATTTTTCTCTCATCTTATCAAAAATAAATCTTTGATGTAAAGAATTAACAGAATTCCAAATCGGACAAGTCAGATATTATTTTTAAACCACCATAAAATTGATAAGCTTAATAAACTGCCTTAAATTGATAGCTCTTCCCATATGGGGTGAGTTACACTACTTAAGTATTAATTAGTAAGGCTTAAAATGAGTGATTTTTAAGTCCCTAGGAAGAAGATCTTTTTCATAACATCAGAAGGCTGGCTTCTAGCACTTGGAATTCACTGAGTTAAGAAGTTCTGTGTAGTTTTCTGCTTTTACCTCGATGTCCTGTGTATATGTCTCATTCTTTCCTGTCAGAGACCAAATCAGACCAGAACACGGGAAGCATTTTGTATTGTGAATGGCTGTCTTCTTTCATACACCAACCATAAATAAATCACTTATTTGCTTCCCTCACACACGCCTGTGCATAGACTGTGTGTATAAGAATGTGTATGAATGTTTTAATATGTATAGTGTATTTATAAATTAGGGAATGTATAAGAATTCATAACGATAAATGCACAGGCGGACATAAAACCGTTTATTTCATCTTTTAAAATAGGTACCTAGTAGACCTTAGAAAAAGTGAAAATAAAAGAATGTCATGTGGCCGCATTGTCGTGAAGGGACTGACAACTCACAGGCAGTGGTTTGACATGCAGTAAAACTGTGATCACTAATGAGCTGTTTAATTCTTTGATGCTCTTTCGCACATAGTAAAATGTCTCCAGTGAGATTTTCCTGATAAACAAGTGTTTATATCATATCATTAACTTTCAGAACTAAACTCTTAGCCGTTGAAAGTGAAAAGTATTGGAAATTTTCATTTAAAAGTAAAGTGGTATTTAGAGATTTGCATCTGTTCACTAAGTTTGTATCCTTTTGCTGTGTTTTCCCTTACTAAGACATAATCTGTAAATAATGCCTCCCAGGCAGTTAAAGAAGAGTATTTAGCACCAACATTACCACTAACTGAAGAGGTGTGTGACTTTAGGAAGGTCATTCAACTTCTCTGGCTTGGTCTTTTACTATGTATAATATCAAAATGGCAACACTTCTTTCTTCTCCACCCTAAAGGGTGTTTGAGGTGAAAAAAAGAAATTTTATTAGAGCTTTTATGGAGTTACAATTTTTATATCTGGAACTCGATAAGATTGTTTTCTTAAAAAAGTCAGAAATCAAATCAATGTATTTTTTCACCTTTTTGAATATTTTAATTCTTCAAATTCATCATAGTTTATAATAAATATATATTCCTGCTATGCCATACACAAAGTATGATCAGTAACCAGTAGCTTTCCAGAGTCTAATTCATTTCTGTTCATTTCTTTTAGTTCAGAAATCTGTATCTTGTCAAACATATAATTAATGGTATTTATTAAATTATATGACTACAGAATATCAACAAACTATACTATAAACATGCTGATTTGGACTAAAACCTTACATTTCTTCTGAACCCTTTTTCTTCTATTCTACACCCTCCATTTTGCCACATAATTATCAGTTTCCCTAGCAACACTGTCAGTTCACGGTGAGATGCAGAGACTGCTAATTCTTCCTGAAACCAATCCATGCTTGTGCAGTAGAGGTAGAATCAGTCATCTCAGACATTAGTAGCATATACATATCAAGCGGTGCTCTCCAGTTTTGCCGCCGAGGACAGTCAGTGATAAATCTCCTTGAATTTCAGTTGCTTGATCACATAAACTGAAATGGCTTGGTCATTCACTCTCTTCACTCTCTCCTTCCTTTTCTTTCACATTTCATTCTAACATAGATTTTCACTGACCTATAACTGATAATCCTTTTGCTTCACTGAGCTGCCTCAGACCCAAAAAGATGCTAAACCACTCATCCTATCAATAAAACACTCCAGTGCTTGGAAAACAAATCAGAACTGGACAGTCCACAGGAGGTGGGGAGGTAAAGCACTGCACCTCAAGGGCGCAGACTAGCAGAACTGACTTCAACCGCTGTACCCATCCTGTTGCAAAAAGGTGTGTGTTGCGGGGGAGGGTGATCATTAATTACCAAATGGCTTGCGTTTGGTCCGCTGCTTTACGTCCCTTTCTGAACCTCTAGGACTTCAGCGTTCCCTAGCAACAGAAGCAAAGGATCAATTTAGAAAAGTGCTTTTCAGAGCATTCCTATCTAGCTACTGACCATGGTCACTCAATGAGCAAGAGGTAGAACCAGGAGCTGGACTCATCCAGCTCCACAGCCCATTTTCTTAACTATTCAACTGAACCGTACTGGTTTTCTGGAGTCTGCTGCTTCTCCTAGACAAACTGATAGGAACTCTTTGCCCCCAGAAAAGGCTGAAATCATAGGAAGTCAGGAAATCCAAAGCAATACCATTAATAGTTTTGAGGCATAACAGGAACTGGGTCACTGCTAGGTTTGTAAGTGTAATTCAAGGATCCCTTTGAAGTTTGGGCATTACTACCAAATGCTTCTTTTATTTCACACCCATCTACTCAGCCAGTGGGGCACTGATTAGATAACACTGCAAGTTATCTTCTCCAAAGTATGAACATGGAAGATGGTATATAAAGCATTTTATCCTTAGTTCTTTTACTTACTATTTCTTAACTCTAATGAGAACTGTGCAAGAAGAAAAAAGACTTAAATTGCAAGATAGAGGATTATAGGAAAGTCTAGACTTGCATAATAAATTGTGGCTGGAATTAGTCAATCCTGATATCTTTTTTTTTTTTTAAGATTTGTTATTTATTTATTTATGTTTGGCTGCATCGGGTCTTAGTTAAGGCATGCAGGATCTTTTGTTGTGGCTTGCGGGCTTCTCTCTAGTTGCATTGTGCGGGTTTTCTTTTCTCTAGTTGTGGTACACAGGCTCCAGGGTGCTTCTGTTCTGTAGTTTGTGGCATGCACGCTCTCTAGTGAGAGACGCAAGCTCAGTAGCTGTGGCGCACGGGCTTAGTTGCCCCGCTGCATGTGGGATCTTAGTTCCCTATCCAGGGATCGAACCCACGTCCCCTGCATTGGAAGGCAAATTCTTTACCACGGAACCACCAGGAAAGTCCCAATCCCAATATCTTTAAAAATAAAAATATTTCTTAGCTACTTTTTAGGTAATTTAAGAATATCCTAGAGAAAGGAGCATAATGATAATGAAAGTAATATCTTATTGCTGTTTCTCTTTTCCCTTTTACTCTTTTTCCACAGAATGGTTCAGCTGTTGCAATAAGACCCCAGGTTTCTTTTTTTTTAATTAATTTTTATTTATTTATTTATTTATTTTGGCTGCGTTGGGTCTTCATTGCTGCCCATGGGCTTTCTCTAGTTGCGGTGAGTGGAGGCTACTCTTCGTAGTGGTGTGCGGGCTTCTCATTGCGGCGGCTTCTCTTGTTGTGGAGCACCGGCTCTAGGCGCGAGGTCTTCAGTAGTTGTGGCACATGGCTCAGTAGTTGTGGCTTGTGGGCTCTAGAGTGCAGGCTCGGTAGTTGTGGCACACAGGCCTAGTTGCTCCACGGCATGTGGGATCTTCCTGGACCAGGGCTCGAACCTGTGTCCCCTGCACTGGCAGGCAGATTCTTAACCACTGTACCACCAGGGGAGTCCCAGGCCCCAGGTTTCTTAAAAGTAGATCTCAGATAGTAGTCCACATTTGAATTCTGAACCCAGTAAGCATGGTCCCAAACCTGGGATTTGTGGACATATCAGTAGAACTCTGAGCCTGCTTAGATATTCAGGCCAGCTAATTCTTTGGTCAGTAGGCCCTATCATATGGTATTTGCTTATTGTGACCCATTTGTTAGCTTATTGGTTTGCACAGAATCTGATTTTCCTGAATTGAATCGTTTTTTGTAACTTACTCATATTTAAATAAAGTCTTTATCAGGAAGAGCAAGGGGAAGTAAACAACTGCCATTAAGGGTATTTGCCTTTTTCACCACCTGTGCGTTTTAAAATTTTTATATTTCATTCATCATGCACTGTCTAGAAATAACTTGGAGTGACACCTTTATATGACAGGATAGAGTGAATTGAGAGTGGCAAGATAAAGGAGAACAATGAGGATGAGGACAGAGTAGAACCAGATATGATGCTACAAGTGTATATACCATATTTATATTATTTCTGAAGCTAAGTCTTTAATTTGGCTGTAAACTTTCTAGTCATCAGAAGGAGATGGAAACCCTGGTCCATTACATTCTACACAGTGTTCATAAGATTAAGACAAACCATCTGCTCAAGAGAAGTATAACTATTGGTACAAATAATGCATGATTTGGAGCAGTGATATTAATATTGCTAACATCCTTACAGTAGATCCACTGATGATTGTATTAGGGCATTTTCACACAGTGAACCTCAGTGTGGACTAATGGCATCACATAAATATACAATGTACTGTTCAGTAAAAGCAATTTAAATTACTGAGAGGAGAGGATGTATAAGAAATGATGGTACTTAGCTCTCTGTTGACCTAGGTTGGTGCTCAGGTGCTCTGTCACGTATGTCAGGTCAAATTTGTTAACCGTATTCAAAACTTCTAGAATGTGTTACTGAGGGAGATGCATCAAAAAATAACACTATAATTGTAGATTTATCTGTTTCTTCTTTTGGTTATGTCGGTTTTTGCTTTATGTGTTTGAGGTGATGTTAATGGATACATACAATTTAGAATCGTTATATCTTCTTGGTAGATTGACCTCTGATCATTAGGAAATGTCCCTCTTTATTTCTAGTAATTCACCTTGTTATCGATTTTGTGAGATTTGAAGAGCTGTGTCACCTTTCTTTTAGTAAAGTGTTTGTGTGGTATCTTTTCCCATTCTTTTACTGCAAATTTTCCATGTCT